ATAGTCGGCTGTGAAGTATTTAAAAATGTAAAGGCAGGCAACATCCTCTTTTCATACTCATGATAAATTCTGAAACGAGAGTGCCTAGAAAACAGAAAGGGGGTGGGGGTGAAGACCCAAATGCACCAAATACTCACAGAGATAGGCAGGCACGACATTAAATTACAGCAAGAATGAGCACAGCTTGAGAAAATGCTTGAAGGCAGGTGACTGTAGTTACATATGACTGACTCCCCTTTAAGAAAACCAAGAGTCTAAGCAAATAGTTCCCAGGCTTTGTAATTTCACAGACAAATAACATCAAAAAAATAAATCTGGTAACTGACTCTATAACCTACTTTTATTTTTTTCAAAAAAGAATATTAAAAAACACTACAGTTTATTATTACCATTATTTCATTTTTTTTCCACCAGAAAAAAATAGAAAGTTACAGTCTCACAATTACATACAATTCTTGCAATTGAATACATTTAGCTTTATGAAAAACTCAGGACATTGTACTAATTTTTCTCATTTAGTCAGTCATGTCACTAACCAACTGATTCACAAATTAGTGTTTTAGAACACTAGAAAAATCTCCAAAACATGTCCAAGATAGAATTACTTATTATCTTCAGAGAGATTCATGTNAGAAAAATCTCCAAAACATGTCCAAGATAGAATTACTTATTATCTTCAGAGAGATTCATGTAAGTGTTATTAGTTGCATTATAACATACAAATATCTCAGTTAGACAACATTATTTATTTAATCTCTTAGGCAGTGTATTATATTTAAAAAGTGGGGAGGGGACCTGATCCCTGCCCTTGTTGTACTTAAAAGCTAATCAATATACCCTGATCATTTACAGATAAATATTTACTGATACATATTTACAGATACAGTACAAAGAGAATACTTTAATACTGGCGGCATGGGGAGGGAGTAACCAGAAGAAGGCAGTGTTAATCAGGGAATATTCTTGCTCCTTTTTAAGGAAGAGAAAATTGAAGCAGAGAAGTTAGAGAATATCAAGTTAAAAAGATGTACGTAAGCCCTGACTCTGCCTGTCTTTGGGGTCAAATGTCTGCTCTTATTTGACTATGGTCTCCATGTGTTTTTGCTTAGATTTCGGTAGAGAGTGCGTGATGGGTGAGCTCATCTGCCTTGGATAACCGGACCTTGTGTCAGCCTCCTCTTGTCCAATTAGCTTTGGCTTGAGGGGACAGTCAGGACCATGAAAGAGAAACGTGGCTGACCATGTCTGCCCTTCAGCAGGTGCTTTGTGTTCCCACCAAAAGAGAATTCTTGGTGATTTTCAGAGAGGATGACATGGGCTGAACAGCTATCCCCAAATCGCTCTATCATTTTTAATAAGATTGGTTCTCATGAGCTTGTCCACAGCTCCATATGTCAGGCAAGACTAAAAGAGCTGGATTTTAAATGTGGAAGGGTTTATGATCTGACATCTTTTCTGAGTGCAAGAAGAATTTTTTTAAAAATTGAGTTTAAAATTATTTTTCACTTGCTGATGAAATTGATCACTTTTCTCCTAACCGTCAACATTTTGAACTGAAAATATTTCTATTTCCTTCCTTTCCCCAATAATTTCAATTATGTTATTTCACAGAATTGGAAAATACCAAAGACAAAACATGAAAATAATCTGGTGCCATCATCCAAGTAGTTTGTAAAAGATTATTATCAGACTATCCAGAAATAGAATATATAGAAAAACAAGGGGGAATAAATAAATACAGTAAATATATTAATTAGAGCTCTTGGTTGCATTGACAGGAAATCAAATAAAATTGACTTAAGCAAAAAGTGGAATGTATTATGAATATAATGGATAGCTTGTAGAAACCAAAGATGAGAATCAGGGACAGTCGGAGCCTAGGTTTGAACACAGTCAGCATCCTCTGGGTGCTCTGTCATTTGGTTAGAAGTCCACTTCTGCACTAAACAACAATGGTCAGATGTAACAGCATGGCTTCTCCCAGGGCACTAAGGGTATAGAGTGGGGACAGGAGGCCAGGAGGAGGGTACTGTTTTCAGAAGAAGTAGATAGGGTATTAAACAAAAGAGAGACGTCCATCTTATTGAAGAAATAGTGAAGAAGCAAGATATCTAAGGAAAATGGCTTGTCAAGTTTTTTTAATATTTAGAAATAACCAAGATCAATTTCAAGGGTTATGTACTCTCCCTGACTTAAGGAAAAACTCCTTCATTCAGGGAAATCATTTAAAACTTTAATGATGTATCAAACGGCCGTCTGTTAGACGTGTGGCTTATTGTGCAATGCTTAACAGATTGCTAGTAATAATTGTGCACTCATTATATATAAAGTACCCCCCTAGATTCTGGGATATGCGGAGGGAGTTGCAAAGATGAACAGGTCCCTACCTCAAGGAGTTTACACTTTATTCATCTGTAGACGGTCAAACAAACTACAATGACTTGTTCAATTTAACATAAGGACTGATCATTTGTTAAAAAGGAAATTGCGAATTCATATTCCCATTATTTCCTCTAAACAATAATCGGTGGTCTTTTAAAACATTATGCTCTATAAAATGCACCACAACAATTTTTGTTCCGAACTAAGTTTGCCGTCAGCCTGAAGATGTCGGCAACCATACCCTGCGTACTGATCACGCATACTACCACCTGGTTACAGCGGAAGGTTTTCAACTGAAATTTTTTCCTGTGTTTTTCTCTGTTTCTCACATGACTTTTGGGGAAAGACCAGCGAGAAAATGGGGAGCGTAGATTAATTTTTATAAGATGTAGGTATACTTCCACGTATTATTATTATTATTAATTTTAAAGCCTTGTTTTTAAAAGCCTGGGAGGCTGAGGAGTTGGAGAGGTAGGACGTTTGGGGGAGAGTACCAGCAGGCGGCGCTTATCTCCTCCGAGCAGAATAGAATGTTTTGCTCTCAGCTAAAGATCCCGCAGGAATTAAGGGCGACTCTGAATCCAGTCAATGCAAGTGGCATGGAACACGCCATACTTAAGCGGCGGGTCCATGAAGGCACAAGTTCCAGCCTGTTCCCTAGGCCATCACACACCTGCATTACCACTCAAAAGACCGTCTCCCCTACTCCAAGGATTGTATTATTTTCGTACTTCACTCCCAGCCACATTTCCCCAACCCAAGTCTCCTGGAGGGACGATCAAGCATCGGGTATAGAGTAAAAATAAAAATAAAGGCCCTAGAGAGTTAGAGAGTTGGAGCTGAAACTTCGGGAAAGGAGTGGACATTATCAATCTTCCAGCTGGTATGCCCTTAAAGTGTCAGATGTTCTCTGTCCCCCCTTCCCCTCTCCCCAATCCCGGGCGCCCGGCGCTGGGTCGCGGACGGCAGCACGCGAATCTGCTTGCGAGCAGACATCTCAGTTCCCATGTCATGTAAGGGGCAAGATGAAGCGGCACAAGGACACTTCGACGGTGCCTAGGCTCAGGCTCAAGCCGTGACTGAGTTATTGGCTTGTTGGGGGTCACTGGCTTTCTAACCTCCGGGTCCGGGGCTCAGTCAGCCGTAGGCAGCCCTCTCTCACAACGCTATTCTGTCCACCGTAAGAACTACCATCATTTTGAAAGTGCTTCCTTCCTGCGTCTGTGGCTTTCTACGGCCGCTCCGCCAACGACCTGCCCTACTCGCGTGCGCACTCGCGTTGGAGCCTGGCCCGGGAGTCCACGGCGAAGGCGCGCAGCGCTAGAGTCCGCGGGCTGCTAGCTCGAGCCCAGCTCCACCTCTGCCTGCCGGGCACTCACAGACGTCTAACTTCCTCCCTAGACTGGGGACACAATCTTCCCGCTCCTGAGGCTCCCGGATCAGTGAGATAATTTACGTGGACTACCTAGACCAGTGCCTGGTTTATTGTAAGCGCCCAACCCCCATGCCAAGGTCATCGGTCGGGCTGACCCCATGGTGAAAACTGCTTCTTGGGGAACTGGGGGTCGAACAGCCAGAATAACTCGCAGAACTGAGATAACTCTCTCCTCCTCGTGATCCACAGTATTTCAAATCCCGTCCATTGCTTCGCCGCCGTTTTCTCAGATCCCCTAAATTAACCTCCTAGGCGGCAAAGGGAGCCCAGCGGGGTTCAGCATCTAGCCGAAAAGTACACCCCCCTCCTCCCGCGAGTACCCCGAGTGCGGGGCGGATGGCAGCGAAGCGGCTCGGAAGCAGGCTCGGGGCCGGACGGACGGCGTAGGGGAAAGAGGAGGAGAGAGCAGGCTGCGGAGGAGGGGAGAGCCGCCGGGAGGAGGGCGCAGGGGCGGGCGGA